ATAAATTCAGTGTTGTTTTCGTTAGGTGTACTAAACGTTTTTAAATTTGATTTTACAATTGAATAAGGAAGGGAAATTCATTTAAATCTATTTATTCTTTTTCTTTCCCGTCATTGTATAAAAATGAACTAATCTTTGAATCAATTCAGGTCATGATAAAGAAGAAAACTCTTTTCTGAGATAAAATAAATTATTGATTATCGATCACATATATCTATATATGTCCTCACTGGATTTATTTTTGGCGAATTGTTCCTCAATGGTAACTATATTTATTAACTGGTAGTCATCTGGTTAGAGAACACATAATTGAGATGTGGAAATTATAAAGGGAAGGCTACTCCCAGTTTACGGATCCAGTTGAAACGCATTCAAGACTCAGTAAATCTATTTATCAAAATCTAGCGACTAGTGAAGTTGTAAGTTGAACAGTCAGTGGCCTAATGGATAACGCTTTCGCATTTAGAACAATGGATGCTGGGTTCAAGTGTCAGTGAGAAAACTATCAACTACTGGGGATTGAAGATGTATCTGTCTGACGAGTCCCGCACAGGACGAAATGCTGATCCTGGATTCAACTACTAGTCACTATCCAATAAATAACGTCTTCTTAATCCTTAGAAATTGTTCAAGCGTCCCTACTAGAAACTGACGTGATATGTTAACAGAAGCCCAAAATTCAAATCCAGGTGATGTACGTATTCGTGAATTAATTTTTCACTCTTTCGCATTGCAGGTGGAGCATAGGGAGCCAAGCTTTGTCTCCAAAGTTTCAGTAGCAGTGGTGTTGCGTTTACCGCGTTGGGTTGCTAACCCCACGCCCAAACTTCCTTCTTAACCGAGCTTACTATCGACTAGGAGAGGATTAGGAGTGCTTCGACCGGGAATCGAACCCTAACCAGGTGCATGTTGGCGAGCATTCTATCATTGAACTACCAACACATGTATTCATGAATAGAGTAGTCTTTTTTTGTATATGTATATATCTTACCAACAAAAAATCACATACAAAGAGAACCCGACATTTTGTCCTTTAAACCTAATCCATGTTATATTGTGGTGAGAGCTGGCTGCTAGCTAAAGTTGGTAGACAGTAATTGACGTCAATGTTTATGTCCCCAATATTGGTGGTGAGAAAATGAGAACAAAGGTTTTGCGTAAGCGGATACAGTTAGCATATGGATGATCTGACACAGCCACAAAGAAATGCAAGGTTAACTTTCTGTGAGAAACAATCAATCAAAAGACTGTATTTTCTACTAACAATAATCTACAATAATGTACATTAAAATCGATAAATATGTGTTGATTTTCCTTAATAAACGATCTGTTGCCTGACCCTTGTCTTCTGTTGTTACAATATGATTTAAGAACATGAAATATACTCCATAATAAATTCTCTTCGGATTTTGACGGTTATAAAATAAAATATCTGTAATAACTGAAATAGAACTCAGTTTTATGGTGATCTAGAGGACTTCATACACCGGACACCTGTTTCTCAGCCTCTGGTAGTATTTCACTATTCACTGGTGGCCCCTCCTTATACTCGTACCGTTATATCTGTTCCTCAATTTATATACAGACTGCAATTAGTCAGGTCCCTCTACCTTTTCGAGAAAATTTACTAACTTAGCTCAGAAAAGTTGAAATCAAATGCATCAAAACGTCAATTTTATCACAGTTGGCAAATACATGACAATGTCATTGTCCCTAAAATTGTCTCTAAACGTTAAATATCACACTACGAAGGTATTATCACGCACAATTCACCTACGTCTTCTAAATGTCACTTAAGCTATGGAGATAAAATCGACAAAACAAAAACTTTGTATTCAAAAACATCACGTTCAGACGTCGTTCCTGCTGTGGTTAGATTTGGATTAAAAGTTCTTTTCCTCTCTAAGGTCATATTTCTCTCTCTATTTTTTTTCTCTTTTTTCCTTCTACCAAACGGTTTTAGTCAAAACAACTTATAATTTTAACCTTAACTCTAGAGTCCTTTAAATATTGTCGAGTTTTCAACTTATATAGATAATAAAATCTATTCTGATTGATGATAAGTGATATTATTTATCTTCTCATTATATGACCCCATCTCATCCATTTTGCATAATGGTTATTTCAGAACGAACTATTCTCCGAAATCTTATTATCGCCTGTTTAATGCATTCTGCTTCGAACTAGCCAAGTTTTACGGCCTTCAACTAACTTACAAATTTTCCTTCTCTACATTATATGGATTTGCTATGACTATTCACCACCAGTGTCTCGAATTTCACAATATTCCATAATTACATTGAGTACAACAGGTTTGCATCGGTGGTTCAGCTATAGAGTGCTGGCCAACCACGTATGTGGTTCGGAGATCGAGTCCTGGCCAGCTCACACCTTTGCCTCCCTTAACCGGTTATAAACCCATTAAAGAGGGGAGGTCAAGCGTGAAGCTAGCAACCCCACAACGTAAAAAAGACAATATTGCTACTGAAACTTCAGAGCTCTTGCTTGAAGGCCTATGTTCTACTGGGAACACAAAGGAATGTATTCAAGTGTTGGTTTGTAGGGATTTGATTGGTTACAGGATTTTCATCATGAGCTGATATTAGTTAGAGAACCATTGGGAAACCTGGGAGTACTGGATGGCTGTTTCGTCCTAGTTTGTGACTCTTCATCAGTACGCACCCATCACTGGGATTCGAACCCAGGACCTTCTGGTTACAAGGCGAGCTCGTATACCATTATGCCACTGCAACCCGATCCAATGGTCCATGAATTCTAACTTCTGCCAATTCACGACATAGCGCGACCCCTAGCCAATGTCTTCGTCGAGTATTTGTCCTCACGCCCGACCTGCTGCACCCTACTGGTCACGACTTCTCACTAGAACCCCAGGTAACTACCTATCTTAATAGGGCAAGTCACTAGTGAGCATCTCATTGGAATGTAAACAAAAAAAACAACAGATTTGTTAAGCAAACACTAATGGTTGATTTAAATGGTATACAACTACTCACTTCGGGCAATCAGTAGTAAATAGTTTCGTGCAATTATGCTTATCTAATTGATTATCATTCATGTTATCAAGCAGATCACATAAAGTGATCTGAATCATTTACTATTTCTATCAAACACTTGAAACCCGATTTAAGTGTTCAGAAAGAAGCAGTTATCAGTCTTTTCTTGTCCCGGTAAATGGATATCCTTCATTTGATTGCGCTGTCTTTGGCTTTAACCTTACACACCTCCTTTGATATAGTGTAATTTTGCTTGCCTCTTCTTTCTACGATTTGAGTTAAACTCAATTTATTGTTACCTAATTTATTAGTCACTTATAATCTTACGCATCTCTCGTCTTTATTACGCAACTCCTTTACCATTGTATCCATACATTTACCTTGTTTAAACTTGAACTGCCAGTGTAGAAACTGTGTAAGCGTAATTTTCTGAGCACTGTTCACTAAGTACAGAATGTCCTATCAACTGACATCATGTACATAAGCTTAATAATTTATTTAGGCTGTAAGCAGCTGACGAGAAGCCAATGAAATATATGATTGTACCATATTATTTTGCACAAACCACTGTTGTTCTTGCTTTATTCAAATTTGATTTCCAGAGGAAACTGTGGCGAAAATTTCAACCCTGGAATTGTGTACCCTGCAAATTGTGAATTTGGTTTCACTGCTTTACTTAGATTACGGACAATACATTTACTGGCAAACGGAAGCCAGTAATTATTACTGTTCCACCGATTGCTGTGCTGTGTTCAATTTCTAGCTTATATGCAATGTTTCTATGATCGAAACAAACTTTATCTGTGAGAAGGGAGAATCTTAATCCCCAACAAAAGTGTTGTTCTGTTCACACTGTTTCAGAAGTCTGTGTTTTCACATAGTTAAGAATAACAGAAGATGGTAAAATGTGTACTTTACAATATGTTTCGGAAGTTTAATATATGATTCTTTCTATGAAATAATTATGTATGTTATAATGGGTTGAATGTTGTAAGTAACAGAAAATACACACACGCGCTCAAAGTGTGCTCATATCAAATCTCATTTATTGTTTCAGAGGTGACCATCCAAACCGTAACTATTTACAGTTTTCTAGGATTTGCGCCGGATTGGAGAACCACTTAAAACCATACAGCAACAGACAGTTGTTTCGTCCTAGTTTGGGACACTTCAGCAATAAGGAATCATGATACTAACAAACCCATGGAAGCAGAACTCTCAGGTGGTGAGGGCCGCTTGTCAATGGCCCGTGAATTCTAACTGGTGACAATCCAAGGTATATAGCGCCACTGCTAGTCAACAACATCGGTGGGTATCCATTCTTGACAACAGTTTGAATGGACTATGCTTGTCACGGCTTCTAAGAAGATTTGGAGGAAATCCCTCCCGTGGTAAGTCAATAATGTGCAGTGGGCCAGTTTTCAGATGTTGACTAGTAGAAGTGTGATTGGTTTCCGGTTGGTGTTCATCAAAAACGGACACCAGTTAGAATGATGGAATCCAACCTGAAGTTATTTAAATTCAAGCTAACGAATACTTGGAAATTGTTTAGAATGTTTTGAGATGAAAAGAAGCGGGAAAATAAAATGCCATGATTTGTAATGTTATTTGCCATTTTCGGAGTGAGTAGCATGACAATTCCATCGACAAAATTTCGATCTGGAAAAAATGACCCAGAGGAAACAGATTCAGATTGAAAATTGTTGGTCACCTGTAGGTGTTAAAGACTTCATACAGAAAAAACTGAAATTAGTTGGTTTCATTCGTGTTGCGCAAATGCAAGTTGTAATTTTGTCGTGACAGACCCAGACTGAGGAATGTGAAACGTTAAGCGCGCTGGAAAACAGCTAAAATAGGAATTGTTTTCTAAAAATATCTGTAATTGGGAATTATCACCGGGACTTCTACTATTCAAACTGAACTGTACGGAGAAAATTTTTTTAGAACCTTTTACTTTTAATTTAAAAATTCCCATCTGATACTTACAGAATACATTATCTCCGTCCAACCTTCCATTGTGATACACTGAAATACGGTGAGCATTGCATAACCAATATTATCAAAACTTGTAATCCCATAATTTGGTCCTTCCCAGTAACCTTTACATATATAATTTGGTGGGCATAAAAATGCCCCTTGTGGAACAGCTCCTGTACCAGTTGCTGAACCATTTGAAAGACTACACGGTGCTAATGTTGGTCTATTTGGTAGAGAAAGTGGTAAATAGTCCGGGTTATCTAAAATATGAAAAATAAGTGAAAATGACAGTAAATTATTAGATGGGCAATTTGATATAAAGACGAGGTGTTATGACTTGCATTGAGAATTCATACATACCAATAACACTTAACCTTTGATTAGATGATGACTGTCTCTCGGCATAAAATAACACAAATTTAGAAGGATTCATCACTAGGGAGTAACTAATGTCATGCTTCCAGTCCTTCTGTATCAGTCAGCTTTGAAATATGATCACCAACCTAGGTGACTTTCTGTTGCAGTCTGTTTCGGATTAAAGTAAAGTGGCTGCCGGCAGTCGCTAAGAAGCCAGGTACGTAAGTCTCAGACTTGTTGGTACTCGTCAGCAAGGCGTATCTACGATTTCGAAGGGGCTGGTGTCTCCTATAAGAATCGGACCCGCACCACCCAGTGCTGCAATCAGAGACGTTGCCAGTGAGCTGTTAGGGTTCATAAATGACCTCTAATAGGTTTGTAATGAAAATCCTGAATAACACATGGCATATATATATAGCTCTTAATGCTGGCTAGAATCTATCAGTGAAGTTCGCGTGGTGGTCACCAAGTTAAATGACTCGCCGTCACAGTTCACTTCAAAAGCTCACTGATGACCTCTATGACTTCATCGGTGATTGATGTAATTTTGAATCTCCAAAGGGACATCAGTCCCTTCCACTTTGAAGATACACTTTGCTAGAGAGTTCTACGAAACACGAAATTTAGTTGCGAAGCTTTCTGACGACCACCTCCAACCACTTAACACAAGACAGATATAGTCTGTTAGACAGACACTGCCTGGAATTTCTCGTTCAAAAAAGAGTTGCAGACTTTGTCACTTCATTTGAAGACTATAGACGTCTCTTGATAATGTTTATTTAGGAAGATAAAGCCTCAGCTCAATGCTTTAAAATAACTCTGTTCATAGAATTCTGTACATCCTCTATTCTTATGTATACGTAGTTTTATTTTCTCTTATTTAGAAAGGAAAATATCAGTGTACTAAGAGCTGAGAATGACGCTTTCCATTAAATCATTACAACTTATCCAACGAGATATGTACGAGGTTTAAAAGTGAGCCTGTTTAATAAAACGTGACCAACTGTTCTATAAAGAGGAGACTAAGAAGTATTCCGTCTCACTTAGTAAACTTTAGAAATTCCTATTTTCTATGGAAAATAAAACTTAGCACACACACACACACACAAAGATGACGCATATGGTTCGAACAGTTGTCCTTAAATGACCTAAATGATAAATGAGGATAGCAATAAATATAAAAAATAATAAGAGTTATAATAACAGCTGAAAAAAATTTGGGCAAATTTTTTTAGACTTTTCTATGATATATTATGTATGCATTACATACACACACGAACACACACAATTAGAGGGACATTTATTTCGCCTTCTGGAAGCTCAAATCTGAATCAAGGAGCATTGAATTGTCAAATCGGAACTACTGTTTGCATTCAGTTATAATATTTAATGTATTTTGAACAATTTTAGATTACAAAAGACTGAATTTTGTGAACAAAGATAAATTCTTCACCAAGTTCTGTGGTAATCTGTAAATTATTGTTATTATTATTATTGTTTCCTTTAATTCCTAGAGGAACATAGGGCTTCAGCTGTGCGTCTCCATTGCGTTCGGTTCTCTGCTACAGTCTTCACCTGGCTCCAAGTCTGCCCACACGTTTTCATCTCCTCTTCACATGACCTCCTCCAAGTCACCCACCCTCGCACTGACGACCAACTTGCCACTTCCATTTCGGGTTGCACTCAAGGGCTTGTCTAGTGATGTCACTTGATGGTTTCCTCAGAGTATGGCCAATCTATCTCCATTTCTTCACAATCGGTTCCTGCTGAGTTGGTTCGCTCATTGCCAGAGATCTCTGTTGCTGATCTTTTCTGGCTTGCCATCTGATCTTGAGTATTGAGCGAAGATAGCTGCTAATGAAGATTTGTAGTTTGTTTGAGATGCTCTTTATGACGCGCAGTGCAAGTTTCTGATACGTATAGTGAGTATCACTGACCTCACATTGGAGTTGAAAATCCGGATCTTATTTTCATTTTCATGCTGAGTGCTGTTGACCTCCACACAGACTTGAGAGTAGTGAAAGCTTGTCTTGCTTTTCCGATTTTCGCTTTGATATTCTCATCATTTCCGTCCGCCTGTAGTTGAAACGATGCTTCGCAGGTAGGTAAAGGAGGTTGTTGCTGATCATTGTCTGTTGTTACTGTTCTTGTCCAGGAATCTTCATTACCTCTGTTTTCTCTATGTTCACCTGAAGTCCTATCTTTGATGCTTCTTCTGCCAACTTGTTATTAACAACATTAGTATTTCAGATTATGGCCCCTACTGGCCATTACTTCTCAACACGGACTTAAGATGTCCATCCAGTAGCAATCAACATGCTGAAGATTGATATTTGAATTGTGGGATATCGTCCAGTTTAGAATTTACGAGTCACTGAATTCTAGTCCAAGTGGCTGGATGGTCAGCTAGCTTAGTGTCATAACCTTAAGGTACTGGAATCGATCCCTATCTGTAGGTTTTGTACTGTTTTGTACTGTTGAAGAATCCTAAACTAGGGCAAAACAACTGCCCAGAGCTCCCTGGTTTCCACTGATCTCTATGTGACTGCTTTTGGTTCATGGCAAAATATACACTGAAATCTATGTTTCAAATAACGCTGGATCAAAAGTATCATCAGATTACAACTTAGAAGTATCAGTAAATGATAATGTGTGTGAATATAACACTGAAATGAATTAATAGATTCTACATCAGGCTAGGAGCCTGAATAGCTCAGTGGTAACGTCTCTGACTGCAGTACTCACTGGGTGACGCGGGTTCGAATCTCAGAAGGGACATGAGTTCCTTCAAGGGTGCAGATACGCTAGGTGCGGTAAGGACGCTCGCCAACCATGCACATGGTCCGGGGTTCGATCCCCGGCCGACGCACTCCTTTACCTCGCTGAGCCAGATATAATGCTGGTGAAGAGGAAAGGTTGGGCATAAGGCCAGCAACCCCATCCTGTAAAACAAACACTGCTGCAGAAACTTCAAGCCACTAGCTTGAAGACCTATGTTCCACTGGGGAACGTGAAGGAAGAAAAAAACAGCAGGCTAGGGAAGCGGTGGTGTCTGAACACATTTGTTTTGTAGGCAAAGATCCGCCGTAGCCTGCTGCATTGGGTTCCAAGGGGAAAACATGGAGCTTCAACAAAACATCTTCACTTTCTTCTACTCTTTGTTGTCCTCTTCAGATGGATTCACGACTGACCACAATCTCTCATCTCATCCTCACAACATGATATTCCCTATATTGTCCTCAAACGACCCACTCATCACTTCTCATTGAGATTCCACTCAAGCGCTGGTCTGCACTGCATGTGATGTCATTCGACTGCCTCCTAAGTGTGTGCTCAATCCATCTCAATTTTGTTCTACATATTTGTTGAGAAATCGGCTCTCACATGTTGGTTTTTCCCCCAAACGGAGTTTCTTGGTTCTAATCCTTTCTGGCCAGCCGGCCATTTGGTCTCCAGTATGGAGCCAGCGAAGTGTGCAGTTGTTTATAAAAGTCTTCAGTGACTTGTTGAAAATGATTTTCGTGACAATCATTGAAGTTTCTGACCCATATAGAAGAAGTGACTGACTGACTTCACATTTGTGTCGAAAATCCGAATCTTGTCCCTTATGCTGGCTGAGTTAGTACAGAAGATTTCCAAACTGGTTTCAGTTTGATGATAGCGTTTCTTGCCTTTCCGATTCTGGTTGGCTCTGAAATCTTCATCCGTGCCATCCGTCCATGTTTGAAACCATGCTTCCTGGATAAGTGAAGAAAGTAACCTCTGTTTAATCTCTCCCGTTGATGGTGATTGGTGCTGGTTGTTGTTGTTGCGGTTCATTGGTTATCTTCTTCACCTCCATCTTCACTTGGAGTCCTGTCTTCGCTGCCAGTTTGTGTGTTTTCGCCTGGAAGTCGAGTTTGTGTGACATTAAACATAAATCATCCACCGCGAAATCCAGATCTTCTAGAGTCTTCTTATCCGTAGTCCAGCGTATTGATTGCTATCTTCTCACTCTTAGCACATAGTCTGACACACACTCCAGTCAACCACAATTAAGAAATCCATAGATGATAATAGGCAGCCAGATTGTCTTACTCCTGTATTCAATTCGAATGCCTCTCTGAGTTTCCCATTGTGGGTCACCTGACACGTGGCATTATCATATAGCCAACTGGTGAATGAGGTTGATAAAGATTTGGGCACTACATTACGTAGTGTTTTGCAGTGTAGTGCGGCCAGCTGTGACATCTGTAAATGCATATCTTCTCTATTATGTTTCCAAATTTATTTGATATTTACTTTAGTGGTATAATATTTATGCATATTACCACTTACAGATTCTTCGGAATTGTTTTCTGTTGATATTATTGATTCGATGTTATTTGAAAGATTGTTGTTTTTTTATTACAGCTTCATGCCACACCGTATTTTTAGTACAAGTATGGAATTTTCAGCATGGATATCGGTAGCCCAAATTTAGCAGGCTGACCATAGATATCGGGTGTGCGTCGGCAGGGGATCGAACCCTGGACCATGTGCATGGTCAGCGAGAGTCCTAACCACTGTGCCACCGACGCACTGTCATTAACAATAATTATTTAATTATTATGGACAGATAACTGTAAAACCTGTTGAGGAAGTTATCAAAATGAACACTCTTTATTCACTACTCTCCGTCTTTTTGAAATTTACGGTGGATATGTTCAGTCGACCTTAGGCTACAGAAGCAAGAGAAAATTTCCGCTGTGCTCACTACTCTTGGAGGAATGTGATTTTGAGTCCAATTGGAAACTTAGTGACGATTATTGATAGGAGGTGGAGAAAGATGGAACCGACAAATATGTAAATAACTTACAACTTTTATAAAATTTTAATTTTTCCTGACTTTGCTAACTGAAATTTTGCATCTCTACAGTCATACCCAACCAATAAGTGGAAACGTTCCCCTAATTTACAATGAAATTTATCAACGATTCAGTAAAAAGCCACATGGCTAAAGTTTCACACGACTTCATGGCATATCCATTTAGAATTGTGGGATGCTCATGAAACCTTTGGAATTTGTATGAAAACCGTTTATTAGGTGCATAATATTTGTCGAATGAGAAGTTCCGCAAAGAAAACCGTGGATGGGATTTTTAAAAACCGACTTGACTTAGATGTATTATAAGTACTATGGTACGAATAAAACGGATTGGGCCTTTCTATGACTTCTTTTCTTGTAAGATGAAACCATAACACATCATGTTCTAATTTAAGCGAATTTAAAAATCTCAGTTTGTTATACATCCCGAATTTCACCATATCACAAAGTAACTATATTTCGCAGTATACCATATTTTGTATTCATATATTCTTTGAAGGTTAAAGCCCATTGGTTATTACGTTTTTTCGCCTTAAAGTACTCCAATCACTGTTTTGTATCAGTAAAAGCCTCCTTGACAACGGTCTATTTGCTGCTTTCCTTCCACATATCGGTGGTATTCTCGTTGTAGTTGTCGTTGGCGTTGCAACAAGCGATCTGAGCTGGTTTCCGTTTGAGTATATGGTCTACACAGCTTGCGGTCTAATAGATTGTATTACAGGCCATAGTACCTCCAGTTTAGGATGCAGCCTTTCTTAAACTAACGTATAAACATAAGTGATAATTTTAGCTTCGAATTCTGTTCATTATCAGAAAAAAGGATTGGACAAATTAAAGAATAGTAACCTCAGGAAGTTGGTGCACCAGTGGCTCTGAAACGCGAGAGTAGAGCACGACAGTGAAACCACGCGAATAACACTACATTCGTCGAAAGTGATGAGAAATGCAAGAATCTTAAAAACTGGATCAGGTCAAAGGTTAGTTAAGGGAAAAATTAAGGTTTGGGTTGAGCCAAGGACCGAAATTCCCTCTTTTTAGCGCAAATGATCATTCTTAAGTCAGTCAGTGGTGTGTTCGTCCCTCGTAGGTCATTATTTTATAAATTTAGACAAATGATTCCTTAGTGGCAATAACATTAAGGTTCCCGAAAATTTCAGAATTCTTCATCACAGCTTCATAAGAGTTCAGTCTAGTCTTACAGAATACTAGCCCAAAACAATAACTTCTCAAACCTGATTGGAAATGTAAGCGCACTAATGGATGGCAACATACACCTTGTTAATGCTTTTGTCATTTATTCGTCTTGAGAACTGTTGTATGCTTTTAAGGTTTCAAATCACAGATTTACAATGAGAATAAGAAAAAAATAGAATGTTGATTTCCTAAAATTACAGCTTTTGAAATAAATTCATGAAGGCGTAAAATGTTGACTTGCTGAAAGCCGCCAAGGTTAAACCGATATCCTTAAGCAATGAAGGTCTAAGGCATTCTGCTGATTGCCTCCTACCCTCCATGGAGGAATTTTTACTGATGTCTAACATAGAAACACCACGGTTACAGCAATATTTGTCAATGGAATAAAACTGTATCTTAACAGCTTATCCTGGTTAACAATTAGTATTAATTTAGCTGTGTAAACAAGTATTCTAAATATATAGGAAGATAACTAACTGTCTTCACATCCCCCAGACTGACGGTATCATTATCCAAATAATTCAGCATACCAAAATGTATTAAACAAAACTAGATAAAGCCATTAAAATTAATTCATATGTCTTTTAGGTACTTATTTCAAGACACCGGCAAATAACTGGTCCAGTGATCGTAGGAAGATTTGTCAGAAGTGACTGACTTCCTAAGCTGTACTTATTGTATCTGCCTCATAAAATAGTAAATCTGTGGGAAGAAGTGTCTGTCATATGGTGTGATTACTTATTTCTATAAACACAGTGATAAAATCCCGAGGAACTACAGTAAGGAAGTCAAACACAGAAACATATTGATGTAGCCACTAGCCCCACACTGAGCCTTTTCCACTTCTTCGAGCATAGGTCTAATTAGTAAGCTAGGAAATATGCAGAGAAAAATGGAGGCTAATCGGGCATACTTTGTGGAAACACTGAAGGAGTATTTTACGCCACGCCCTCAATTAGAACCTGAATGGGAAACTGTGAGGTTGGTGTCCGACGGTAACGTGGAAAAGGTCATATGCAGAGAAAATGAAAGCTTATATGCAATCGTGAAGTGTGCTTAAGAAGAAGCAGAAAGCAGAGGCAAGTGGAAATGTGTTGTTAAAGCCCTGTGTTTCACTCTTAACCTAAGGGATGAATAATAATAGTTCATGAATTTATGCCATTATTATTAAACGTGAACCAATGTTGTTTGCTCATTCATTTCTGTTGACACTTACTCACTGGGCATATGTGATTCGAGGGGGGCGATACATCATAAATTCAGAGTTGTGACTGAACACTTCTAAACAATGTCGTGTGACATGTGCTACTTACAAAGATACCTACAAGTAGTATATACTGCAGTTTTTCTGAGCATATTTATAAGAGATTCCCAGCAAGCCGATTTGTTAAAGTCCTTGAGAAAGTTATGAGAATAAAAAATATAAGAAGTACAAAAAACAAGAGGCAGGATAACTCATATTCTTAGCAGAGCCATACTGCTCTGCAGATGACGTCAATCATACAAAGAAATGCATCAACAAAATCTGTAGCTTCGAAATAATTTAAGGACTAATGATAATTATTACAAGACATGTTTGTGCAAAAAACAATAGTGCTCTACGCTTTTGCGTAGTTATCATGAATTTTACGTTCAATAGGTAGTTTCGTAAGCAATTTCTGTCTGAATTATGTTTTATGTAGTAAGAATTGTTTTAAAACGCTTCACTGAAGCAGATAAAAAATGTTACAACCTCATCAAAGTTATTTAAATTTGAACGTTTTTTTATATTATACAATCTCATCGAAGCATTATTGCGTCTACTAGCTAGACCATATTTCTTTCTAAGAACGCAAATTTAGAATTTCTATGTATATATATATATGTTTTTATAATTATGTTTTCAGAGGACAAAACTTAGTGTGTTGAAAAAAAATTGAACTTTTGTTTTAATCAGTTAAAAGCAGTAAATTTTAATTGGACACCATTTTAAATTTTGGCCTTATAAAATTCATCATCGCCACAGGACTTGGATTTTAGCTATTATCTTTGGATCACACAGAACATAAAATGAAACCGATTTGTAAAACAGATGATTTATGGTGTCTGTACTACATAATTCATTCTTTTACGATATTTTTCAGATCTAATTTAACTCATCTGTCTAGTAGAAACATGACCGTTATTTAGCAAATATTGTATCTAAAAAGAAACCTAGGATGCATTCCCTTCTGCTTGACGGGTGATGTCTGGGACGATAAAAGTGTAAAATTAATTCAGAATATCGAATCACACACCAGAAGAGTTTCCTGTGGATCATTTCCAACTGTTACATTAATTCAGAGTGTACCGTAGCAGTGAATGTGACTACTGTACCGCTAACAACCAGACACATGATAATAGCTACAGCTAAATGACTAATCGTATGGAACGATACATTATCTACGACTGTTTGTGTTATTAGTCACATTGTTAATCAAACTTCAAGTTTCCTAGGAAGGTCTTTCGTGCATACATCTGTCTTCTCTGAATGTCTTACTGAGGCTAATATCTGAACTGGTAAATAATCAAACCACGAAAGTTATCCATTGTAATAAAGGTTTTTGTATTTCCCAATGAATGAAAAACAAAACCATATTGTTTTTTACTGACGTTTCGCTATTTAATGCTAATAACTTGACAACTAAAAGTGCCCCCAGACAGACGAACGATGTTCAAGTTAGTAAACTTTATTTTGATCTTCATTGCTATTTTTACTTTCAATATGTCCCTTTAACTTGACCTAAGTCTATTTTCTCACCCCCTAACTGTTTGTTATATATATGCTGAGATTTTGTAAATTCCGGTTTAATAATACTTTGATAAAGCTATTAGCAGTATTAAATAGCGAAACGTCAGTAAAAACAATTTGGTTTTGTTTTTCATTCATTGGGAAATACAAAAACCTTTATTATAATGAATATCATTTACCCAATGCCCAAATTTTTTCAAACCATTAAAAGTGAACTTGGTTTGGACATATATAACATGAAAGTTATCACTGAACTGAGCAATCCAATCTGAAAAATACTCATCACCCTATGACTGAAAAGCAACAAAACACGGTGAAGACCCAGTAATTGTGTCATGGAGTACTTCTGAAACAGAGATAAAGCATGGCGTTGTAATTCATTCGGGTAACAACAAAACCGTTATCCAGCAGACCCACTCGGTACAGATTAAGGTTTTATAGTAGCATTTCAACTTTAAAAAAAGGAAGTTGTCTTTGGGCAACTTACACAAATCAAAACATGTCATATGAAATCCACCTGAATAGAATTCCAGGCCAATAATTGCAAATATGATTATAGCGAATAGAACTAATAAGCTGATCTGTAATAATGGAGCCATAGCTCTAATAATAGATTTGAGCACAATCTGTAAACCTAAAAAATAAAAGATATTGGGAAGATATGAAAAACCAAAATTAAAGAAAACTGTGAAATTTCAAGTAATTTCAAAATGAAATACGTCTATAAAACAGCAAACAAATAGTTTTAAATAGAGGACAGTGAACAGAACCTCGTATCAATTACCAGTTCGCCCTTGAATAGCTTGACTTCTGTGATACACATTAAAACAAAAACCTCACCGCATTTGGAATTTATTAGGTGTAATCGTATAGGAAAATATTTTGTGTACGTTCGCCTCAAATTCGCTATGCCAATTAAGCTATAAGCCTATCTTGGGCACTTCAAAATTGAAGGACATTAAGTGAGTTGGTAGGTGGTGACTCTCAGATGCACATTTTTTCACCCATTTGTGACTCGCCATCTGGACACTCCTGCAATCCCAGTGAGTGACGGTATCCCCGCTGAACTTGACTTGAACTCAAAACCCGTCGCTTCACACGTCAAAGAGTTACCTACTGAACTACTTGGGCCAATATAGCCACCTTTTGTGCAAAGGGCGTTATTTATTATTGATTTTTATTCGATTCTGATTTTCTTGTTGATTGAGTGGACCGAAATGATCAACCTCTGAGTATGAGTCTCAGTGAGAACGCCATCACTCGCTTGGTTCTCAGGTATAGCCTGACGACAAGTCACAAAAAGGACGAAACACGCATCAAGGATTCCACCTCTAGTCACCATACACTAAATTACTCCAAGTTAATCTTCTGACATCGTCGAAGCGTGCGTACTAGGAGTCAACATGTTAACAGATGCCAAACACTTTGGTCCAATAGGTAAACAGAGAAAATCAAAAATGAATTGGAAACAAATAATATTAGGTAGTTTTCAAATCAATAATTTAGGTGGTCATGTGTTCAAATGATGCCTTAGTTTCTCTTCTAAATCAACTATGATAGGCACCAATCTTGTCTTGTCGACGACAAACTTCTGTTACATTTAGACATATGTTTTATTCAGAATTTCCACAGCGAGTTCTAGTATATTATGTCAGTGATTTGAATAAATTCTATGTAAGGATAGCAAATTGAGCAAGTCAATAATTTTTGACTTTACTTCGTCTATTCTTGTAGAGTGTATGCTATTCACTATGGAACATGAATAAAACAAAAAGCCTCACTTTATGGATCTGGAATATTTTACGAGCCACAGAAAGAAATATGCAGAGACAAAGATTGTGGTAATAAACTACATCTAAACTGTGTTTATTCAAGTGTTGGTTTGTAGGGATTTGATTGGTTACAGGATTTTCATCATGAGCTGACATTAGTTAGAGAACCATTGGAAAACCTGGGAGTACTGGACAGCTGTTTCGTCCTAGTTTGAGACTCTTCAGCAGTACGCACCCATCACTGGGATTCGAACCCAGGACCTTCTGGTTACAAGTCGAGCTCATAGACCATTGAGCCACTGGGGCCTGATCCAATGGTCCTTGAATTCTAACTTCTGCAAATTCACGACATAGCGCGAACCCTAGCCAATGTCTTCGGTGAGTATTTTTCCTCACACCCGACCTGCTGCACCCTACTGGTCACGACTTCTCACTAGAACCCCAGGTAACTACCTACCTGAATAGGGCACTGTTTTTGTTCAGTGATTCATGAAAAGGCTTTAGTTAGGACATTTTTGCAACCTATGGGGATAAGCCTGAAAATGAACGCATAATTGTTGTGAAATGCATGTTGGAAGTTCTCCAAACTTGATCAATAATTGTGAAAAAACAGCATTTATGAGTAAGAAATTCGAGATGGTTGAGGGGAAATCCATTCGCTTAAAAGGATGATCTGTCCAGGAGAATTGGATAGAGAATAAATGTTGAACTTGAGAGGAGTTTTTCGGCTGTCACTTCCATCGCTCTTTGTCAAGAACGTTACTCGTTTAAACAATAGGAATTCGACAATTAATCTTTTCATGTTACCTCTAATTTCACATGCAGTTTCCATGTGTTCACTAAAGGACATACATCAGATAACAGAAATAGGGACATTTTTTGACCGCTTGAGAGAGCATTCCAAAAACGTTTTTAAGATACCTGCGCATTACCTGACAGATAGTGACGACGAATTCAATGTTTTAAAATCGTTGAAGATCAATAAAGTGCAAGTTGGTCCCAGTTCACTCTGCATCCCCATAGCCGTAACTATTAAACATCTTGTACTGAAGCTGTGCATCCAAAAAGAAACTGTTTTTAATCTTTCCCTACTATATTGAAACATTATACTCTATTTTTAGTTGCAGTTACTTCAGCTGTATTTCGTTTTGATATTTTCATTTCATACGCTTTAATTTTTTCCACCATACTGTTGATCTCTACTCATCTGATCCTAATCGTTTCAAATAATCTTAATTAAATAACTCTGACGTGAGATGTGTTGCTAATTGTGTACTTCTGATTCTTGTTCAAATAGCATTCCTGACTATAGAATGTTCTTGTGGTTCCTCTATATGCACCAGCTTGTGTATTCAATCTCCTAATACCAATAGACACTAATGTTAAAATTGTTTCACGTATTACGGAACTCTTTATTGAGCGAAAAAACCCCATATTGTGTCATAAACAAAAAGTGAGTCTTGAAGACAACATCCTCGATCATTTAATTAGTCAGTCGCTTTTATAATTTGTGATAAAGTATCGATCTAGACAATTTCCTCAACACTTTCAACGCAGCACATCCTTCAACGAAATTCTCTCTAGGACGAGAATCAAACCTGTCTATCACATTCCTAGATATGCTACTCACCAGAAAACAAGACAACTCTACCCACAGATCAATTAATCGAAAACCAACATAAACTGGACAGTTTATTTACTTTTACAGCTTTATCTCATGGATGTGAAGGCAAAACCTGGCTTGCTCCTTTTGCTCAAGGATCCTACTAGAAAACGCATATCCATCTAGATTTATTGACTGAAAATTTCAGTGATCAAACTAGCAATTGTTTCTAAGATGACTGTCTTCATGAACCTAGAGCTCAAAGGTGACACTGATGCAAAAATTCTTAGGAACCTCCTTTCTAAGTGTCTGAAGAAGACATTACAAGCAGCCATCTTAAGAATCACATTCTCCAACAGACAGTAAATCCACTTATGCACATTGGATAAGATATCAGTTTCGGTCACTTCAGTGTGTATTTATCAATTTACTTGTTCCTGTGGAGCAAATTATATCGTTCGTAAACAAGTCCGCAAACGTATTCTGGAACATTGTTCAGCTTGGCTAGCTAGAGGAGAAAAGAAGAACACTTAGTTCTATCCTCAAACGCCCTGTCTTCTCTGTACACCCCTGCATCAAAGTTTCACATAAAAGGATTTCGAATACGCTATTATTATACATAACCGAATCACTGGCTTTTCGGGACCTGAAACCGGACCTCTATTTTCAAAAACATTACGTAGACTCACTCACCTTACTATGACCAGAGTGACACTTTTGCCATAATTCTGTCTCACTTTATTGTTTGGGTTAATTATAATTATTTCATAGTTATTATTATCATTATTACTGTTTATTAATAACATTGCATTTCTTGTGCAGACTGTATATTAACACTACCGTATTTTCATTAGCTTTCGTTTATTTTGTACATTTAGATTCATTAGTCATTTTTCAAGCCTATTACTTAATTCCAACTTGTCTCGTTTTTCTAATCTCCTCTTAGTGTTCCATTTATGAAGTATACTTCATATTATGTGATGTATTTCCTACAACACAGTTACTGGTATCTGACTGCTGTTAATTATTGTTCGTCAGATATTTCCGTCGGTCGGTTTTCGACATAGAACTTTGCACATATGTGCGGCAGTTCAAGTCGCCACACTCCCTCCTTGCAGCACACAAAGCAAGAGAAGAAAGTAGGAGAAATGCATATAAGAGACAGTACACAGAGGTGTGAGACAAAGGTATAGTAATAACGAAGAACAAAACAGTTTCATTGGAAATCATAAGTCACAAGGAGTGGATGCATCTGCGCCAGCCATTGAGAACGATTTTGAGCCATGTCACCAATTGTTTCCAACCATTTGGTTTTTACCGTCCCGAGGAAGTCTACACCTTCCTACGTGGCTTAGACTAACTGTTGTAGATTTCATTGACTGGTGACATGTTTTCGTTTGACCACCGCTAGCTCTTTTCCAGCCTGACCCTATATCAGCTAACATTTCCCATTGTCGAGGAAGGCGATGACTAGGCATACGTAACACATGTCCTAACCATCTCAGTCGATGTAATTTCACAGTCTCGTCGACTGATTTCCCCGCCTTACCTAGCACTCGATGCCTAACCTCAATATTGCTCACCTTATTATACCACTTCACGCGGGAGATAGAACGCAGACACCTATGATCAAAGACAGCTAATCTTTTCATGTCTTCCACTCTCAATGGCCAGGTCTCACAGCCATAAAGGAGGACGGAGCGAACTGCTGAGCAGTACACACGCCCTTTGATCGATAGTCGGATATCTTCAGATATATATACGAATGATTGTGTAGCCCCTGAAAAATATTCATCGGAAAGAAACTCCTTCAGTGTTACACGTTCTCTTGGTAAACGATTGACAAGATCAGAGAAAATAAAATAATATGATGTTATCTAGATTAATCTGATCTGTTCGAGTTCATCAGAGAAAAAATCACATAAAATGCCTTATATTTTATACATATTGTGAGAGATACAAAATGATTCACAGAGAGGAACTTACTTTCAAATCCTGTTACTAATTTAAGTGGCCGTAGCACACGTAAAGCACGAACAGCAGGTTGATTAAGATTTGGGAGAATGTAGGCTAAAAGGCTATTTGGATAAAAAAGAGACGAATGAAAACAAAAAAATTATTTCACGAACATTTCACCCTAATTTGGGAAAAATTTGAACTTTGCACGTAGAAAAATATGTTAGCCTAAGTTAACTGTGAATGCATCCTTAAGTCTGCTTTACAAAATTGAAAATCTTGACTCCTTTAAAAAGTGATGTCATCTGGAACAGTCATGAGCACACGAAGGAACTTCTGTTTTCATTATTTGTAGCAATGAAAATTGTTTCTTTTTCTAACGAAGTGAGATTCTAAATAATCGGTTACAGAGATAAATTATTGGTTTCTATATGTGATACCATGTTGCTCTTAAGTTGTCTGTGGAATAAGCTTATATTCACGTTTCCTCAAGGGTGTGTAACCTGAGGCCTCATTATGGTTCTTAGTATCTAAGTTGCTGATTCTACATCTCCTCACTACAAAAGTTATGTTTGCATCTTTGAGTTTGTTCGGAAATTAAGAAACATATACTGTCACGATCAGCACAGCATTATGCTCATTTTCAAGAAAAGACATCTTGATGTGGTTGTGTTCTCTGAGCTGGATAGTTAATTTGCGAAGCTTTCATCGCCCTACTAGGCGACATCTTCAGCGCATACTTCAATTTGAATTGAAGTGAGCTTTTAGATTTCTCCACGAGTTTATTAGTCATCTCTCCTGGTGGGTGACCTTGGACGTGATTGGTTGTTTTTGTGTGTTTTCACACCTTCTAGGCTACTTGTACTGGAACTGATTGTTTCTTTGACTTGAACTTTGACCCTTTGTGTGTGAGGTTTCTGTTTTTTGACGGCTGGCTTATGTTCGTGGATACGAAGACGAAGACAAACATAAGCTAGCCGTCAAAAGATATGACATCCACTCCCTCATATCACTACATACAGACAACCACGGACATCAATTCGACTGGGACAACCAACGTTGAAATATTAGACAGAGGAAACAACAAAAATGCTAGAGAATTTTTAGAAGCTTGGCATTCCAGTGAATCATCAATCAATAGACACATCGAGATTGACAAAATTTATCAACCGATAAGAAAGAAACCTCACACACGAAGGGTCAAAGTTCAAGTCAAAGAAACAATCAGTTCCAGTACAAGTAGCCTAGAAGGTGTGAAAACGCACAAAAACAACCAATCACGTCCAAGGTCACCCACCAGGAGAGATGACTAATAAACTCGTGGAGAAATCTAAAAGCTCACTTCAATTCAAATTGAAGTATGCGCTGAAGATGTCACCTAGTAGGGCGATGAAAGCTTCGCAAATTAACTATCCAGCTCAGAGAACACACATCAAAATCATCCACCTGAGCTACAAACTTCTCCATCATATCTAAAAAAGACATCAAATTATTAGATAAAGCTATATGAAGGTCTTGGTAACGTTTTCCTTCGATTTAAGCAGTTATACTCACTTGTAGATTCACCTGCTTCTGTATAGAATATTTACTTCAATGAGTATAAGTTGTCTGGTTGATATTCGAATCTGTATGAGGTTAAATAGTCCTTTGGATGTACCTAATAAATCACGTGTTATTATCCTCATATAAATTTTTAACCTAAAATCAGTGTTGAGTATCTGCCAAGCACATGGGGTAGTTGTTTGGATAAATGTAAGCGTAGGGAGCGCCCAATCAACTTTCAGCAAGTCAGCAAAAGGGATGCTACCTTTATTTCTAACTTCTCGCTGAAACTCTACATTTGAAGTGATTCGGAGATACAATACACACTTTCAAAGAAGATGACAAATTGACGTCAGTTTATGCACTGTTTGTTAAGCTGAGCATCAAATGGCAAATGTCATTGGATGTAAAATCAACAAAATATTATCATATGAAATAACGAATGATAAACAGAATCACTTGAAGAAGAGTTCATAGGAGGAAATATCAATACATCCGAATTTCTGCATTTAGTCCATAGGAAAAAATTAAATGTCACTTCTATATAGTTCGCACATCGAGTTACTAAAATGCTTCATTAGTTCATGTAGTAAAGGTTGAACGAAAAGCTTGGATATACCTCTTCTGTAAATTTCTATCGAAATTACCACACTACATACAATTTGATGAACCTTCATTCATTTATTTTCATGTCTTAATGCTGTCATCTACTCTGAAAAAAAACAATTTCTGTCCTGATTGTTTTCAGTAAGATTTATCATTACAATAAAAATAAACTACTATTATCGATGTTATTCCTAATATGAAGACTATGGGGGGATGAGAAGACAGGAATACGTTGGACTGACAAGAAGACTCTAGAAGATTTGAACCTCATGGATTATTTATGCTGAATGTCAAATAAACTCTAAGATTACAGGCAAAAATTAACAAAGTGACAGAATAGGTAACGGAGATGGGACCTCAAGTGGATATACAGAGAAGACAGAGATGATGAAGATACCCAGTCATCAACCACAACAAGCACCAACTACTACTATCAACGGCAGAAATTTGAAAGAGGTAAATTCCTTCACTTATCCGGGCAGCATCGTTTCAACTACAGGCGTAACGTATGAGGATCTCAAGGCCGGCAGTATCGGAAATTCAGGGCAAACCTTTGTGACTCTGAGATCAGTATGGAAACCTTCTGCACTCAGCAGAAGATTCGAAAATAAGATTCGTATCTTCGACATTGATTTCAAGTTAGTTCTTTTATATATGAGTTAGAAACTTGGCAAGCTCATCACTAAAATCTTTGGCCATCAGACTGCACACTTCGCTGACTAGGCCTTGAAGATCAGATGGTGGTGGGCCGCAAAGCATAAGCAATAAGGAAACTCTGACAACGAATCAACCAAGAACCTAGTGCCTAAACAAATATGCGGAAAGAAGACGGGATGGATTGTACATACGCTGAGGAGACTGTTGAACGACATCACGAGATGGTCTGTCGAGTGGAACCCAAGTGGGAAACAATGAGTTATGCGTTTTTCTGAGGATGACATGGAAGACATCGTCTGCGGAGGAGATGAGAACTTATGGGAGATCATAAGGCCAGCTGAAAAAGACTGCAGAGAATAGAATAAAACGGAAATGTGCTGCTCCACGAGAAACCCAAGGGAATAGAAAAAAATTAAAATTCAACCTATTCACGGGAAAAAGATTTCGGAAGTAGCTATCTGATAAGTGATTCATGATTTCTCCTAGAAAAATTATTCTTGGTAGGATAATTTATGCTCATTTTATCATTTAGCTGGTCTAATGATTGATAACAGCAATTAATGTTTTATTTTTTCGTAGTGGACAGCTGTCATCGGCCATTCATTATCTTCTGATTATTAATTTTAAAATTCGTTCAGGTTGACATTTATTTCACTGTGAATGCGTCAGTTTCGATAAAATGTTATTAAAATGAATAACGGATAAAAAGTATGAGCTGCCAGATGTTAAGTGGTGCGAAGCCCAGTAGAGATTAATAATGTCTGTGCCTGTTATTAGTTATGCTAGAAACTTTTGAAAATGTTATGAAGATACACTATTCAGCAGAGTGGTTTGCTGACGAATAATGCTGAGAAAACAGAGGTGATGAAGATTCCTGGACAAGAACAAGAACAACAGACAACGATCAGCATAAATGGAAGGAATCTGAAAGAAACAACCTCCTTTACCTACCTAGGAAGCATCGTCTCAACTACAGGAAGACGGAAGTGACGAGGATATCAAAGCAACGATGGGAAAAGCAAGACAAGCTTTCACTACTCTCAAGTCTGTGTGGAGGTCAACAGCACTCAGCATCAAAAATAAGATCCGGATTTTCAACTCCAATGTGAAGTCAGTGCTACTATACGGATCAGAGACTTGCTGCGCGTCATGAAGAGCATCTCAAACAAACCACAGACCTTCATTAACAGTTGTCTTCGCTCAATACTCTCAAGATCAGATGGCCGGCCAGAAAAGATCAGCAACAGGGATCTCTGGTGAGCGAACCAACCCACAGGAATTGATTGTGAAACAAATAGGCAGGAAGAAATGGAGATGGATTGGCTGGCCATACTCTGAGGAAACAAACCATCAAGTGACATCACTAGACAAGCCATTGCTCGAGTGGACCCGAAGGGAGCGCGAGTTGGTCGTCAGTGCAGGGTGACTTGGAGAGGTCATTGAAGAGAGATGAAAACGTGTGGGCAGACTGGCCAGGTGAAGACTCTAGCAGAGAACTGAACGCATGGAGACGCACGGCTGAAGCCCTATGTTCCTCTAGGAATTAAGGGAAACAATAATAATAATAATGTTGAGTCGGTGCGCACACTCATTTTTGTGACCGCAACGACCACCAGCATTAGTTGCTATTCGTTAACCGGCTTGCAGGTAACTTATTCAAAATACCCGCTTCAAATTAGATCCATTTACATAAGGGAATATTTGGACATCATTGCTTACTGTTTTTATAATACACACTACTGACACCCGTATGAGTAGTCACAGACTACTACTCATGTCAACCAGTAGTACTTACTGAGAAGATCAAGCTGATATAAACACCTGATGACTGAATCGCTCGTGTGGAACTGAGACCTAATATTGGTTGTTCGACGTAGATCCTAGGTAAAAGGGTTCAAGAAAGCTACACCGCATGCTTGCAGAAAAGTAGCAGTGGATCTAATAAGAAGTGCGGTAATTAGACACTTTATAGACTCCTGCAATTCCTTCTCAACAAACTCCTACTTTAAGGTAATATATAAAGTGAAAAGTAACCTGCCTAAGACAACCCACTTTCTCCTTCTTTAAACTGCTGAATTTCTAGCCATCCAGATGGAGAAACCGAGGCTCTGCATACAAAAAAAATGTTTCATACAATTCTGTTATCATGTTAAGGACCCTATTATTATTCGCAACCCAACTGTCTTGCTTATTTTGATTCTCCGACCCTTTCTGAGTCATCATTTCGAGCCCTTAGGTCAGATAAAGTCTTCGTTAATTCTACGCGCATCCTGAACACAACTTACTTGTTAAATTGCTTCTCATTACGTAATCCTACCACCCTTATTCAGTTTCCCATATCTATTGACTAATATTAGCAGCTAGTCACATGATGATCCATTCTGTTCTCACTATTCACTTTTACTTGAAGGAATTGTGAATGAATATGGTTGTACAGCTAGAGAAAACGAATTTGATGGAAACAGCCTCTTCACTGAACTACTTGTCTTGCGTTTTACTAATGCCCAAATGAGAATTATTCATGAAAAATCATTTACTGTTACTCCGAACCTTCATTTTTTTCCTTTACGTTCCCAGTGGAACATAGGGATTCAAGCTAGAGACTTGAAGTTTCGGTAGAAGTGGTGTTTACTTTTTACGGGATGGGGTTGCTAGTCTCATGTCCAACCTTCCCTCTTTCAGCAGTCTTATTACTGGCTTAGCGAGGTAAAGGAGTGCGTCGGCTGGGAATTGAACCCCTGACCACCTACGTGGTCGGCGAGCATTCTACCGCTGTGCCACCGACGTACACCGGACCTTCATAAGTAATTCAGTACCAAGGTTTAGTTATATATTTAAATAATATTTCTCTCACTTCATATATGATTCCAATCTATGAACTAACAGTCTGACGCCTACTGATTACAATTTTGACCATTTACGCTCTCCACACATACATGTAAACACAGTGTTCAAGCGCATTCACCGTATATATACTGCTGATACAATTGAAGAAGAAAGACGACATTTACGTTCCATTTAAACATCCGACTCAGGATAAGCAACACCACAAAATGCTTCGCTGACGTTTATCCAAATATGTGATCAGAATATTCGAAACATAATCACCGATTTTTCTGTCTCTCTGATATTCTTTCGCATTACCGATGAGTTCTTGTCAAAGTTAAGGGACGGAAATAATCTTAATAGGTTGCCAGTCAGTTACAGTATCGATCAACTAACCAAAGTAACGTTTTAAGTGAAATGCACACTACACTAAAATGCGCGCTGGCGAATCGATGGTGCATTGCTGTCCAACTACAGAAGATGTCAGGGTTCTATTCCTGACAGACTCTCCACTAAACTCCACCTGGCCGGTAGTAAGTCCAGGAAAATGGGAAGGTCTGGCTTGAGGCTAGCAACCTCACCCCATGAAAACAATACCATTGCTACTGGAACTTCAAAGCTTAAAGCCTGAAGTCATGTATTCCACTCACAACAGAAGAAATAAACAAAAACAATACCGTGAAATTCTTCACAGAAATTTTAAAAAAAATATGAAAACAGTTCATGATAACTCACCCTGTAACTACAACAATAAAATCCATAATGTTCCATATATTTCTAAGATATGCTTTCCGATGAAACAAGAAACCAAGTGCAACAATTTTCAGCAATGCTTCCACACAAAAAATAATTAAGAAGTATGTTTCTGTTTGTTCCTAAAAATGGGAAAATTTTTATACAGAAAAGAGAAAACCAAAGGTTGATATATGTACCTTTTTTAAAGAGTGAAATAACCGTCAAAATAAATTATGAAATATGGCGTAGTGCATCACATGATTCAATAAATTCATGCATGTTATTTCTGCTCACTATAGGCAACTCACCAGAGTGAATGACTTTAAATCATCCTACTCCGAAAAAAAGAAAGTATACTGGACTTTGTAAAGTTACTGTGACGTGACACAAAAAAAAGAACAAGAATTGTAGCAGTTAAAGACTGCATTTATGATGCTCACTAGTATGACATAGAGCGCATACTTACGTCATAGGGATAAGAATTTGAAATCGTCTGTTGTAAAAAAAACATGATGTGCTTGTTCGTTTTTATTACAAGTTTTCTCTCGTCAAAGTTTCTGTGTTGTTGTAGTTGTGTTTGTTTTCTTTTTTCATGTCCGTTCATACATAAGTTTTATACATTTTTCTCTCGAACAAATATTTATGCTTACAATGTGGGTGGACTTAAGTAGAACAACTATAAAACTATTCAGTAGTCGCCTATTCTACACGCTAAGATTTTAATTCGAACAAAGTAAGAACAAATGGATGAGATCATTTGTTTTGATATTTCATGACTTCTGTACGGCCGCTAACGACACGAAATTCACGAAGGTGAAGTTATAAGGTACTTGCGGTAGACTGTGAGTAGCGACAAAACAGGAATATTCAAGTATTGGTTTGTAGGGATTTGATTGATTGGTTACAGGATTTCATCATGAGCTGACATTGGTTAGAGAACCATTGGAAAACCAGCTGGGAGTACTGGACAGCTGTTTCGTTCTAGTTTGGATCGGGTCCCAGTGGATGAGCAGTGGTCTACCAACCGCAAGGTCTTCGGTTTGAACCGCGGTGGGTGCGTATTGCTGAAGAGTCCCAAACTAGGACGAAACAGCTGTCCAGTACTCCCAGGTTTTCCAATGGTTCTCTAGCTGATGTCAGCTCATGATGAAATCCTGTAACCAAAACAGGAATACTTTAGTCTGATGAGAAGACATTAGAAGATGTGAACTTCGTTGGCGATTTCTGTCTAGTGTCACATAAACTCGAAGATCAACTGGCAAAAATCGACAAACTGACAGAAGAGGCAGCATAGAAAGGACTTCTAGTGAATATAGAAAAGGCAGCGATGATGAAAATACCCCCAAATAACCACAACAAGCATCAATCACTAGTGACGGGAGAAATTTGAAGGAAGTCGCCTCTTTCACCAATCTAGGCAGTATCGTTCCAACAACAAGCGCAACAGATTAGGATTTCAAAGCTGGTAGGATATGAAAGGCAAGGCGCAATCTTCATTAACAAAATTCGAATTTTCAATAATAATGTCAAGTGACTGAGTGGTTCTATATATAGTTCATAAACTTGGTATGCACGTCACCAAATGCATATCTAACAGCCCCTGCAAACTTTATCAACAGTTGCCTTCGCTGGTTCCATACTGAATATATCAAATGGCTGACTAGAAAGGATCTTAATTAAGGGACTTTGAGAATGAACTAACCAAGAACCTACTGCTTGAGAAATACCCCGGAGGAAATGGAAATGAATCTTTCACATGTTAAGCAGACTGCTGAGTGACATCGCACGTCCGGTAGACTCTTGAGTGAAAGTTAAATAGGAAACGACGAGTTTGGCATGATTCCGAGGATAACATGGTAGTGACAGTGTGAAGTGGGGGTAGAAGCTTATGGTCAATCAAAGAGCCGGCTAGGAAAGATTGCATAAATCAGATTGAAATGAAAGTTTGCTGTTGAGGCTCTATGTTCAACACGTAACCCAATAGAATAATAATAATATATAACATACTTCATAAATATTTCAACTCAAATGGCATTTGTTTGTTCTTGACATAGTCATGAATGTGAAGAGGTATGAATAAAAGGCTGTTAGTAAGCAAACAGTCGGGGGCCTCCAATTTAACCAGTTGTTTGTTTGCACAACAGTTTTACTTACCATTTATTCACAGTGCCATCCTAATTCTCTTCACTCTTGAACTTTCCATCATACTGCGCATAAATACAGCCTGGTTTTTTAGATTATTTACTATCCTGTACTCATATCTACTGTCCCATCATTATACTAGGGAATAGCAAATAAAGTATGTTATGTATTTACATTTAAAATAACTATGTCACTTTTAAGCTATTAGTAGGTGAAGAAATGCCGTGAAATACATTCGTTCTTGCCTTGTTCAAACTATTCCGGGTAACCGGGTGTACGAAATTCTTGAAACTGTGTCTCCTGACCTGTATTATAATTTTATTCAATTTTTAGAAAAATTAAGCCATTCAGAAACAAAATTTATTGGAAGAAATCAACAAGTTCACTGAATGTACTTCATCTGTATCCTAAATAGTTTAACTAGCTTAGATATTTTTCCTGTTGATCAGCTGTTTCGGTACATTCAGCGTCCGGGGAATAATTGGATACCGACTTCTCAAGCGCTACAATGGACTTCGTTGCACGATAAACTACACACATTCATTCACTCAATACAGATGAAATTACCAGAAATTTGAAAACTTCTAGTTCGCTCTTTGAGAAGTGTTGTAGTGGAGTGAGCTGTACGGAATATCCTCATCCAGAAGTATATATACATATAAATTAGACTCTTCACAACATCCCTCACATAGCAATCAAAACTGTGTATTTCAGAACAGTTTCTGTCCTATTAGGTTAAAATAGTCAACTGAAGATGCCTACAAGCTGCCACGAAGTGTTGCATCAATCAGGCCTTACTGTCTTACGATGACATAAAATTTTGGTAATACTAACAGGCTGTTTGATTCCCCACAAACTGGAAGATATGCAAGCGAAAAGCAACAAGTTGGCAGAAGAAGCATCCAGAGAAGATAGGACTTCAGGTGAACATAGAGAAAACAGAGGTGATGAAGATTCCTGGACAAGAACAACAACAACAGACAACGATCAGCATAAATGGGAGGAACCTGAAAGAAACAACCTCCTTTACCTACCGACCTGGGAAGCATCGTTTCAACTACAGGAAGACAGAACTGACGAGGATATCAAAGCAGCGAGGATTGGAAAAGCAAGACAAGCTTTCACTATTCTCAAGTCGGTGTGAGGAGGTCAACAGCACTCAACATCCAAAATAAGATCCGGATTTTCAACTCCAATGTGAAGTCAGTCAGTGCTACTCACTATACGGATCAGAGACTTGCCCAGCGCGTCATAAACAGCATCTCAAACAAACTACACACCTTCATTAACAGTTGTCTTCGCTCAATACCACTCAAGATCAGATGGCCGGCCAGAAATGATCAGCAACAGAGAGGGATCTCTGGCGATGAGCGAACCAACTCAGCAGGAACCGATTGTGAAACAAATAGACAGGAAGAAATGGAGATGGATTGGCTGGCCATACTCTGAGGAAACTAACCATCAAGTGACATCACTAGACAAGACATTGCTCGAGTGGCCCCCGAATGAAAATGAAGTGGCGAGTTGGTCGTCAGTGCGAGTGTGGGTGACTTGGAGGAGGTCATGTGAAGAGGAGATGAAAACGTGTGGGCAGACTTGGAGCCAGGTGAAGACTCTAGCAGAGAGCCGAACACAATGGAGACGCACGGCTGAAGCCCTATGTTCCTCTAGGAATTAAAGGAAACAATAATAATAATAACAGGCTGTTTTTACATCATGTAAACGGTTCACTAAATCTTGAATACTCAATGTGATACTTATTCAAATCAGACGAATTCTTTTATATGTGTTAATGTATTGAAGACATCAAGTGGAGATTAATTTTACCATGCCCACGGTATCCAAAGACCTAGAATACAAGAATGCCAAAACATCTTTAGCTTCAACAACATTTATTCAACTGTATGAACATAGGAAGGCGCAAATATCGGAGCAGTACTGTAGACGTTTATTTCAATATCACGACTTCGTCCTTATGTATCGCATAACTCTGAACTTTTCAATAAAACACTATGACATGTACGAATGATATATCCAAAACAACGAAGGCTTTTTTCAGGACATCAGGTTTTAATAAATTATTTAGTAGAGAAATATATTTGATAGCGATAAGAAGTTCCAGAGTGACAAAGAGTTTACGAGGAGTATTGAGGCGTAGTACAGCCTTCGCTGTTGCTGAATTATATAATTAGGTCAGCTACAAGGGGACGAATTTCCCAGTGATTATAGTTATTTGGTCAGGTGGGACAGTGAGGAAGAAAAGAAAGTAGTTTCCTCTCGAAATAAACTTGTGGTTTAACAGCATGTATGAGACTTTATCTCCCAATGTAGAATTATAAACCAGATTGTGAAATCCTAAACTGAATAATAGAGGATCATTGAAAAAGAAACCTGTTTCCATTTTTTACCTCAATTAACTAAACAGAATCTGGGTGGTCAGAAATATTTTTCTTTCTGATCTGAGTTAGATGAAATACCCAACAACCGAATGACTTCCGGATCATCTTGAAAATGTTAGGCAGCATTACTATTTCTAAACCAGTAGTATTTACAAGATGATTTCTTATACCTAAATTTCTGTTAAATCTTCGAGAGTAGTCAGTCTATATCTGAAATTATTTGAAATGTTGAGAATACCTTTACATCTTATAATTTTACATTCAACTGCTAATAAATGTTCAAACAAACATGTTTTCTATACCTGCTGCCGTATAAATATGAGTCATGCTATGGTTGAAACTGTTGTAAATACTCACTTTTAGATGAAATTCGCAATTCGCAAATTGATTAGCAGTTTCCAGTCTGTACAGTTCAACGAAGTGAAATTTCACCCCAGTTCCCTTTGGAAACCAAAATTATTCAGATCACATATTGTGATCCGCTTGATACCATAAACGGTAATCAAGAAAACAAGCATATTTGCACAAGAACTACTAATGGGTTGCGTTGAGTAATTGTATGCCAGTCAAACCAACCAATAGTGCCCGCTGGACAGTTAAATCGAAGTCATCTAAGTACCAGACTGCCGTTTCGTTCATTTCGGAGCCGATTTCATCAGCAGTGCATTCGGCTTGACTCGGCTCAGAGAGCCAAATCAGTTTAAACCACTCTCGAACTGTGTAAATTACAATTCTGGCCACGAAAAGAGTGAAACGGCAGTCCAGTATTTAGATCACTTCGACTGAACTGATAAACAAGCACTAGTGGTGTACTTGACTGGCATACAACTATTGATTTCAACCAGTCAGTAGTATATACTTCGTGTACAAATACTCTTTTTCTCAATACCCCTTACTGTTTTTCGTCTGTTTGTTTTTACATACAAAGGAAAACAGTTCGTTTGTAGAAAAGAGCATAGTATTCACTTCAAACGTCCACTGATTTTGCCTACATACGTATGACATCATCTTACAGTTATGCAGGTAAAAAGAATCGACGCTTCATTCAAGACTTCAGTGTACCTCCGTTGACCAATTTGTTATTAATGAGATTATAATAAGTAAAATTATAAATATAATAAATTATTCTATAAAAAAAATTAATGCACTTACTAATTTCTCCGATAAGGCTGTTTTATCATTCGACGGTAAATGCATTTCCATAGCTAGAACTATACAATTGGCTAGAATAGTTGAAAGAACCATATACTCGAATGGCGTTAAAACAAAAAAATAGGCGATAATCATGAAGTTAAGGAATAATAGCATTCAGAGTGGAGAAAAACATGAATGACTCAATAAAATATCACACACACACATTAAATTCACTAGCATTATGGGATAACATTTCTGAATAAGTCATAAGTCTCTACATGCCTAGATGATTACTTTCACCAATTATATACTGTTGACATTCGTTTAAAATACTTTGATGAGAGGGTATCATGCAAGCTAACACTGATCATTAAAGTTTCTATGCAAGTTAGACAAGGCTAAGAGTCTTTTTAGATTTTCTATAGTTTGGTTTGTAAGGGTTAGTTATGTTTTTACGAGTTGATCACGGATTGATATCAGTTAGAGAACCATTGAAAACCAGGGAGTACTGGACACTGCTGTTTCATCCTAGTTTGGGAATCATCGGCAGTACGCACCCACTGGGATTCGAACCCAGGACCTTCCGGTTACAAGGCAAGCTCGTATACCATTCAACCACTGGGACCCGATTCAATGGCTCATGAATTCTAACCTCTACCAATTCGTGATTTAGCGCGACCCCAACCATTGTCGTTGGTGGGACATCCATCCACACACGTGACATCTAATTGGACCTCACTTTAGAGTATTTTAAGTCAAACATTCATGGCTAAGATGAGATATAAGTTTTTCATAATTTGCCCACTTCACTACTGACCATCACTGGAAGTGGACAATTCATGTAAATAAGCCGACTTTCGCTAGTCTTATGGACTTAAATCTACATGAGCGGTGTCAGTACTGATTTCTAGCATCTAGTTTCAAATATAGCATAAATTATTCTTTAGAGGGATAACAAATTACTTCTACTAACTATTTTACTGATCATTTTATCACTGATTCAATCAGTTGCCAAGAAATAACTTTAAAAGACCTTAATATTCAGGAAAGAACAGCTGTCAAACCTCTACTTCAACTCTGTCGACTTATAAAAGACCAACAGTGAAGTAATTTGGAAGCTGCTTCAGCATTTTGAAGTGCAGTTCCCCAAACCTGTATCAACCTTACTCAACAGCTATTTGATGATGTCTAGAGACTCACAGAGGAAAACTCAACGAAGCCTCTGATGATATACCTGGCTTCAGTAAACAGAATCATGCGACAGACCATGGGGAGCCACGAATAGGGGATTTTTTGGGTCAGCGAGAGGACACTGAAAGATATAGCCTTCATGGATGAACTATATTCCCACAAACTCAAAGATCTACAGTTATACCATATAAAGAGGGGACATCTGAGACCCTACGTAGGATTCTAAATAAAGCAGGAATTAGGGTGGCATTTAAACCTACAAACTCACTCAGGGATAAGCTCTGTAGGTTAAAGGACCCTGTTGGTTGACCCAATTAGACAAAATAATATAATTTACAAAATACCCTGCAATGACTGCTAGCGAGGTCAACTACTTAGGTCAAACTAGTAGGTCGGGGGTAGTCAGATTGTCAGAACATAAGAATTTAGCTAAGGTAAGAATGGTTGACCCAGAGAAGATAAGTAATTTAGAAAAAAGCTCAGCAATTGCAATGCATGCATTAACACACAACCACACAATAGGGTGGGAGAGGGTTAAAATTCTAAAAAGTAATCTAGGTAGGTGGAGAGAGAGGTTGATTACTGAATCCTTGTTCATCGAATCTACACCCAACACATGCAATAGGAATAACTCATCACTCATACCGGAAATATGGAAAATACTACTACCAATCAAATCAAGTGAAAATCAAGTGAAAAACATTGGAACTATATAAATGAATTTAGGAAGTCGTGTGATTACCTTGATATGATTATGAGCAATAAATTGTTCTCGAAACGTCATCAGTAAACATTACTGTATAACACTGTGAGACTTTATCAAAACAAAATTTACCCATAATGGAATTACACTCTACCACAGTGCACAAGTTTTATTCTTATATCTACAGATGAAAACCGAGAAGTTTGCAGAAGAGGCAGGCAGTGGAGATAGGACTTCAAGTGAATACAGAGAAGACGGAGGTGATGAAGATACCTAACCAATAACAACAAGCGTTGACCTGCATCAATGGTGAGAATCTAATGGAAGTCATCTCCTTCACTTACCTAACCTAGTCAGTATCGTTTCCACTACAGGAGGCATGGATAAAGATAATAAAGGCAGGATTGGATAAAAAATGACACACCTCCATTATTCTGAAATCATTGTGGGAATCTGCTGCACTCAGCATAAGAAACATGTTTTAGATTTTCAACACAGATGTCTGAACAGTGCTTCTCTACGGTTCATAGAAAAGCATTCTCAACAGGCTACAGACTCCCATCGTCAGCTGTCTTCGCTTCATTTCGAAGATCAGATAGCCGGCAGGCCAGAAAGGCTAAGCAGTTAGAAATATTATCAGCGAAGCAGTTAACGACTGGTCGCCCATCAAATATATAGAAGGAAATGAAGGTGAATTCGACAATTTCTGAAGAGACTATTAAGTGACATCACGTGATAGGCCCTTGAGTTGAATTCAAGTGCCATAGGACGTGTTGGGCATAGGTTCGACGGTAACATGGAGGAAATTGTGTAGGCAGAAGATGAAAGCGTATGGCCAATTATGAAGCCAGCTAGAAAAAACTGCAGAGAATAAGGTGAAGCCCTGTGTTCCACTCAGAACTCAAGGGGGATAATAGTAAAATAATAATTCGCAAAAGCAGTAAGTAATACAGTGAGTTTTGAGACAAAATTCCCTCCTCCTACAGATCAGTGTTTCTTTATCTGAATTTTAAAAGTTTTGTTGCACACTGTAGGATATTTTCTAATGAGACGAAAACACAAACTGTTTAAATACAGTGTAATCAACTATAAGTGAAACTAAACATGAATTTGAATTCTTTATTCAGTGTTGAAGTTAAAAGTGATCATTATCAAACATTTTAAGTATAATAGGCTAATTAAAGACTCCTCTACAGTGTAATTAGTATGATATAATGGAGGGATGATGGGTTGTGTGGCAAGAAATCTGGGTCACTCACAACCTGAGGCTAAAACTATGGCAACATCTCACTGCATCACAGTGAAATAAAAGATTCATTTTCATTGGTAATGTTTAAAAATGACTAAATAACCTGATAGTCGGCCAAAATATTTTGTTCACTTAGGAAGAATGAAAAGAATGTCGTCAATTTGTTTGAGTCAATATTGACTTCACTGTTGAAAAAAAAAATTAATAAATAGGGAGACTGTTAAATGCATTTTGAGGCAACAAATTTTCTTGTACAGATGAGTTTAACGAGGAAGTAAAAACTGTGTTCGAATTATAAACCAATGGGAGAAGAAAAGAAAAGGCGAATCTGAATGTTGTCAGTAAACTTTGATTAAAGTTAAATAAATTCGGTTTGCTTAACCGTATGCTGTGAAGACGAGAAAGACATACACGAATTAAACTGTTATGCTTGAATAACATTAGGCTTCGAGAAAATACACATCATCAAATGGTTTCTTATATAGATAAAATGCTAACTGACACCATACTACTCTTACTTTATAAACAGAAAGATTACAAAACATCTATAAATACCAGTTGATTCTAATTGCTGCAGATCTAGTTCTATTTTTTATTCCTTTACGTTCCCAGTGGAACATAGGGATTCAAGCTAGAGACTTGAAGTTTCGGTAGAAGTGGTGTTTACTTTTTACGGCATGGGGTTGCTAGCCCCATGACCCACCTTCCCTCTTTACCAGTCTTATTACTGGCTCATCGAGGTAAGGGAGTGCGTCGGCTGGGAATCGAACCCCGGACCAGTGCGTGGTCGGCGAGTATTCTACCACTGTGCCACCGACGCACAGACCAATTTCTTACATACCATTAAGTTGCTCATTCAGTATCTGTGTTGTGAAAGCTTACCATGCTAATTAGCTCAGTCTAAAAGGAGTGCGACAGAAAACGGGTATTTATTTAGTTTGGATTCACCTAATGAATACAATAAACTGGTTGAGTGTTTTTGCAAACTGCTAATGTCGACCTGTAGCAGAATTCCTGCAGTGACTCTCGAAATAAAAGGCATTAGAGATTACACAGAAGCAACAGGAATCCTTTTGCATCATTTTGAATAATATGCTCAAAAATTATGTGTGGTCCAGGGTTCGATCTCATACTGACATACTCCTCAACCTTGCCTAGCCGATAGAAAGCCGAGTAAGGAGAGGAGATTGGTTGTGAGACTAGAAACCGCATCCTGTATAAACGAATAATACCACTGCTAATGAAATTTCAGGAGCTGGAGCCTGAAACCCTAAGTTCCACTCGGAACTCAAAGGAATAAAATAGATTTAAAAAACGCCTAATTAACAATAAACTTAACTAACGTAAAGACGACCTCAGGATGAACAGTTTACTTTTCACTTTTGAACATCAAACATTTTTTATGATATTAGACGAAAACTGGAGATATGATATGGGGGGAATAAAACTAATGATAGAATATGAACCGATCTAACCGAAGCTTAGTAATAGTTAAAGTGGTGGGTAAAAGTAAAAGATGTACTCAATTTTACAAGTGAAGTAACTAGAAGCGCTAGACTCAATCTTCCTGCTTAGTAACAGTCTACCATTCTTCTTAGAATGACTCATATTTTTCTTCCGACGTCAACCTTCGTAATATGACATTGCATTTTACCATAGAGAAGAGATGAATAAGTTAGGAAACTTCGTTAAGTAGGTTTACGCAATCAGAAAAAATCAAGTGATGAACAGCATTCAGAAATAACTATCACAAAAATTGTAATTACTTGGTAATGGGAGTATTACTGATAACAGTAAGAGATTCAGGAGGTATTTAAAGTATATTTTAAAGCTAATAGTTTGAAAATAAGAAGGGAAGACGAATGAACGTGGGTCAAAAGTCAAGTCAAAAAGGTATGAGGTCACGGTAGTAAAACGCATTGGATAAAAATCGCTTCTACATACACGATTCAGGGTTTTCCTATATAT